TGTTATGATTCCAAATTAGTGGAATATATATATATGCAATTTAAAATAAGAAATGCGCACGGAGTTCATTATTTCTCGAGAAATGATCAATACACGTATAATATATAGTTCAACATTGTTTGCGTTATCTTGGATACATTATTTTTACGCGATTCTTACTGTTGAAATAAAATAAACATTTGCCATATAAATATTCGTAAAGAGTAAAAAACGAAATAAGAGTAGCCATGTATTCGTAATACTACTGGGCGCGACACGTTTGCACGTGGCGTGGTATCAGAATAACAAAGAACATGATTCGAGAGTAAAGGTATGCCTTTGAAGGGTTAAAGACGTACGACTGCGCGCGAATTGGACGTGACGTTGTCAAGTTTATTATTATAAATATTATAACAATATTTTATTCGGTAAATAGTCAATTTATTAATAAATAAATAATAAAGTAAAAAAAAAAAAATAAAAATATTATAATGTTTAATACTCGTAAATAAATATATAAATATAAAATAAATAAAATGAATGATTGCGTCGCCTGGAGTATTATGATAAGAGTATTATACGACCGGTTTTAAATTAAAAATTCATCATCGGGTATATCACAGTCAAAATGTAAAACGAGACTATTTTCTATACATATTTTTATTGACTATATTTAATTTATTAATGGTTAATTTACATAATAAGAAAATTCGTTAGATACACGTATATGTGTATAAATATAAATTAAATTAAATTAAAAATAAAAATTAGATAATACAAAAAAGTTTGTTAAATTTTGATTCTCAAGCAACCGAGACAATATTAATTTCGTTTGCAATTTTCTCTTAAAATTGGCCTATCGATTTTTTGAACTGAATCAAGTGGTTATGCTCACTCGTATTTTCTATAATTTGATTTGTCCGCCATTATTATTAGTGTAGCTGTACACTGTTTTTTTTTTACAGCACCTCCATCTGACATAACCATCAGCCCGCTGTCGGATGTATCGAAATTGGTGTCAATTTACTATTACTAAATCATTTCCTCTTTCCGAAACTAATACGGTGAATTTCATTTTCCATTTTAGAAAATCAATATTACCAGTATTATTATCGATAAAATTACGAACGCCGACTGACATAGTTGAAATACGAAAACGACTGATGTTCACCACGTACGATTTTAATATATTCGTACAAAATTTGGAACTTTCAAAAACAATAATTCTGATTTAATATAACAGTTTGCGACAATAATCGACAGTAATAAGTAATGAATAACCGTCACTGTATTAGGTTAGTTGCGTACGGGTCGTCCAAAGCCACGAGTAAATTTACCGCGTAAATATTTGGCAAAGTTAAATGGAAATAAAAATTACGTATCGCACACAATCGTACGTCTAAAAAGATACCGCCGATAAGGAGTACGCACAATCGTATTTCGCCGATACTATTCGTATGCTGTTTGTTAAAAATACGACTAAATTGGACTTCACCAAACTAAACTAATTTTTTACGGGGAATGCCGAATGCGATTAAGATTTTTAAATGTCTAAAGTAATACTATGTACTTATATATATATATATATATATTGTCGGAGAAGTCACAGAAGTGTCAGAAATGTCATCCGTACTGTTCTTCGACGATCCATCTGGACGCAATTCAAACGGTCCCGGTGTTTTTTTTAT